CAGGCGGTGGCCAGTTGCAGCAGAAGCTGACTTGGGACGCCTGGGGCAGAGCAGCTGGGGTAGTGCCCAGAGCGGCGCTGCAGGACCAATCGGCAGCGCCCCAGCTGCTCTGCCCCAGGGTCCGCAACAAAAGCCTGGTCTGCTGGGGGGGGCACATTAGCCTAGCTGCGCCCCCCCCCAGCAGACCAGGGACACGGGGAGCAGAGCCGCAGCCGCAGCGGGGTGCCGCGCTTCTGAGGCTTTGCTCTGGCAAAGCCTCAGAAACGCGGGAACCCGCCCGGTGCCCCTGGTCTGCTGGAGACGGTCTCCAGCAGACCACGTGCACCGGAGCAGCTTACGAACGGGACTCTCTCGCCCCGGAGCTCGCAGGTAGCAATCCGCCACCTCGACCTCCGGGGCGAGAAAGCCCCGTTTGTAAGTGCGGATCCAACATAAGTCGGATCCGCGTAAGTCGGGGACTGCCTGTATATGGCAGAGATTAACTGGAGGCTTTGATCCATGTATTTTTACTACCTCTTATTTTCACTAAATTTCAAAGTAAAACCTAACCAAAGCATGACAAAGAATTCCACAATAAGCAAACAGATGATGTATTCTTTATTTTTCTAGCACCTTTTAAACTACTACTTTAACCGTCAATATCAACCCTCACTGCAATAAAATGAATCAGGACATATATAAGCTAAAATAAGCAAAATAGTAAAATCCAAAAAACAAGAGAAAAAAAACTCATACCAATACATCATCTAACACTATCTTTCTGCAATGTAGTTCTCTGAAGTGTATTAGAGAACTTTGTCCATTCTAGTTTTAATGAACCCAAGTTCCAAGGCTTCAAACACTTCTCTTGGGAGTCTTGCCTACGATCTAATAGACCCACTCTTGAAAAGTTTCCCAGGATATCCAGCTAACATTTTATAATACAAAACCAATCCTCTAACAGCTTAAATCACATAAAATTCCTTGAGGAGTCCAATAGCACCTTAAAGATTGTCAGATTTATTTGGGCATAAGCTTTCATGGGTAAAAAAACAATTTCATCAGATCTGACAAAGTGTTTTTTACCCACAAAAGCTTATGCCCAAATAAATCTGATTGTATTTATGGTGCCACATGACTCCCTTGTCTTTTTATAGATACAGAGTAACACAGCTACCCCTCTGAGACTTATGATTAAACTCCTCTTCTTCCTTGACAATTTCTATCTTTCAAGTTTTAATATGTTCTACAAGCATTTATCACATTAATTGGCATTAGAAAAATAACAACAGTAAAAATATTTTAAATGAAGATGTTGGCCACAATGTATCTACTACATCTATTACAATGAATAGAGTAACTCATTAACATTCCTTTGTTTTACTGTCATTGGTCTTCAGAAGAGAAAGAAAAACTAATTTCTTACTATGCCAGAAAGCGCCATTCTTGAATTAGATTACCAATACCCTTTCTATAAACAATTAGGGGAACAGTATGTCCTTGAAAAAAAACAATGTCCCTATTCTCAGGGCTTCTCTCTGCAACCTTAAGAAAATATAGTGTTTGTCCCACTTATTAAAAATCCTGCAGATTAGGCACCTAAAGGAGATTCCTGTTAGCTAAACCAACGACACTGAAAGCTTCTTAAGAACTCCGTAATGCTCACATTTTTCCACTCTGCTTGCCTTTTCCACCCTACAAAAGCTTCCAAACATCATCCCCTCTGTGACGGGGAGAGCATACCCCACCCTGAAGGGGGGGGGCTAAGACTCTGTGGGCGGAGGAAGTCCCACCCCTTTTCCCAGACTGGGCATGCTTCAAGAGCTGGAGCAGTATAGGAGGCAGCAGAGCAGCTCAGTCTGGGCTGACCATTGAAGGACCAGGACCTCCTGCCAGAGATCCTGAACTGGAGAACCGGGAGACAGCCGCAATGTTAACCCCATGGAACCCCAGGCTGTGTCTAGACTCTCTGTCGACAGAGAGATGTAGATTAGGCATGTCGAAATTGCTAATGAAGCCGGGATTTAAATATCCCACGTTTCATTAGCATAAACATGGCCGCCGCTTTTTTCTAAATGGAGCTTTTCCAGAAAAAAAAGTGGCAGTCTAGATGCGAATCTTTCTAAAATAAAGCCTTTTTAGAAAGAGCCTGTAAACCGCACTGACTCTGGCTAGTAAGCAGTACGGCCCTAAACTGTGGGCTGCCAATTACTGACTCTGGACAGAGGGCCATACTGCCCTGGACTAGCGGCTATTTACTGACTGTGGCTAGTAACCCGTGTTGTCCTGGACTGTGGGCTGCCATTTACTGACTCTGGCTAACGGGCCATATTGCCCTGGATTATCAGCCATTTACTGACTGTGACTAGTAAGATGTACAGCCCTGGACTGAGGGCTAGTTGACTCTAACCAGTAAGGCATACTACCCTGAACTGAGGGCTATATA